TAATGGATCCTTACAAGAACGTATGGTCATCATGCACATGCATGCACGTGCGTGCACGTGAAATGAGTAAATTTAAAAATACACTTGAATTAGCGTATTTTTTTAAAAAAACTTTAGAATTAAATGCTATAATATCTAGTATATTAAAATACATACATGTAGATAGTGTAGAGAAGTTGATATGGTCATTACGCACATGCATTCACGTGCGCACGCGTGCAAAGCTGAAATTTTAAGATACTTGGTATACTTCTGGGAAAACGTTATTAAAGTCTAAAATGCATAGAGTTTGTCTTATTTAATGAAGCTTACAGGGAATATGGCACGAAAAGGGAGTTGGGGAGCGTTTGGGGAACATCTGTAACGGTCCCCGTTACAATTAGAACTAGTTTCATTTCCTTATGCATGTTATGTGATACCTATAATTCCTCAAAATGACTGAAAGGACGCGAATTATCTTTGTCCTTGCTGGAAATTCTCGAAGTAAAGGTGTTGGAGAGTGCATATGCAAATATGCACTATGTGAACCCATCAAGTCCATGGGATTCATGCATGCATGTGCGCTTCGCTCTGATTGGCTGAAACTAAAGTCTCAATATCTTTCTTGTTTTTTGACAAAATCCTTTGAAATTTTGAACATAGTCATACACTATGAAGTTCTACGGAATGATATATAAGAATTATCATAAAATCAGGCGCATGCACATGTGCTGCAATTTGATTGGCTGAAACTTTAAATGGCTATAACTCCTTTGGTTATCAACCAAACAGGATGGGATTTAGAACATAGATAGACATAATGGATCCTTACAAGAACGTATGGTCATCATGCACATGCATGCACGTGCGTGCACGTGAAATGAGTAAATTTAAAAATACACTTGAATTAGCGTATTTTTTAAAAAAAAACTTTAGAATTAAATGCTATAATATCTAGTATATTAAAATACATACATGTAGATAGTGTAGAGAAGTTGATATGGTCATTACGCACATGCATTCACATGCGCACGTGTGCAAAGCTGAAATTTTAAGATACTTGGTATACTTCTGGGAAAACGTTATTAAAGTCTAAAATGCATAGAGTTTGTCTTATTTAATGAAGCTTACAGGGAATATGGCACAAAAAGGGAGTTGGGGAGCGTTTGGGGAACATCTGTAACGGTCCCCGTTACAATTAGAACTAGTTTCATTTCCTTATGCATGTTATGTGATACCTATAATTCCTCAAAATGACTGAAAGGACGCGAATTATCTTTGTCCTTGCTGGAAATTCTCGAAGTAAAGGTGTTGGAGAGTGCATATGCAAATATGCACTATGTGAACCCATCAAGTCCATGGGATTCATAAGCATGAATGACAGTTCCTTGATCGGAAGTCCAAGTGTTACTTTACCTTGCCAGGTTAGAGAAAATTCGACTGCAATATCTGAAAAAAAAACAGCTCTCATAAATGCGGAGGATTAATATGTTTAGCTCAAATCAAAAGATTGATGAACCTAATGCATCATAGATATTGAGCTGCAATTGCTGTTCATGGCGTAGACCGCCCTGTAATTCAAAGGTTAATTTACGAGTTATGTGCAATTTACATGTAAATTCTACTGCAGATACATTGAAGTATTCAACGTTTAAAATCATATGTCCCATTTTTGTATTTACTTTTTACCTTAATGTATTCATTTTTGAATGTTCCCTTTAAGCATAAATATATCTTGATTTTAAAAGTACTGAGATATAACTTGTATAATAAGTAAAATGTAAGTACTTTAATTATTTATTATAGTGACATTGTACAGTTATAAACAGTAAAGATTTTTTAATAAAATTAGTTTCTTACACCCGGCTCAATAGACCTTTATGTCACTGTTAATATTTAAACAATATACGAGGGGTGTTAGAAAAGTTCGCGGACAAGTTCAATTGTGAGCGCGCTATTTCCACGAAAGCGGTCAAACTTCCCAGATAGATTCTTTACCTTTTTTCCAATAAATATATAAGAAACTGTTGCTCTTCGGTGATTATTAAAAAAATACAGCTTTTTTATTTTGATAAAACTTGCTTCACGGAGCATGCTACATTTTGACACGTTTACATCAAAAAGACTCTTTATGAAAATTTAAAATTGCACAATTGTAGCGCAAAAAGATTTATGATATTTTACTTGCCGCTAAAGTATTCATGAAAAGTCATTGGGAGAAATTTTGAACTAAATTGGAGGGTATATGACTGTTTTATAGTCGTTTGTAAATGATCATTGCGTAAAAACACAGCCAAATATCGGAACGTCATTGAGCGCTATGGAGCATTGCACTATGTAAATATTATATATTCAGACTGGAAAATGTCTAAAAAGAGATTAAAATGTTCAAGATGCTGCCAGGAATTTCCTACACCTAAAAAGGACAAGTTTTCAAATGGTTGTAGCTTCATGAGAATGGTAGGAATCACATTTTGAAAGATTAACTCCAGTGATACTTCAATACCCCCGTATCGCATGGACGTTGCGTTGCGCCTATATGGTTTTGCATAGTTTCCATACCTGATCGATTAACTGATTAACTGCATAAACTTTTTTAAAGATCTCAATAATATCCGAATCAGTACAAAAAAGTAACATGTCTTGATATATAGATATTCAATTTTAAAGTAGAAAAAAAGATAAGAAAAAACTGAAGATTTATAGAACTGCGACAAAGCTTAACGGGTTGAAATCTGGTTGTTACGTCGCCTTACGTCAAGTGATTGCTCCGTGAATCCCATAACCTCATAGTAATAATCGTTGTAAATTTTCAAGATTTTATTATATGGATCTGATTTTTTTACATATCAATAAACAAAATGTAGGAATTTATTCAGACATCGGTCATACTTCACAGTACACAATAGATTATCCGTAATTCAATGTGTCCGCGAACTTATCTAACGACCCTCGTATTTATATAAAGGTACATAAATGAAGATAAATGATATTAAAATGTTCTTTTTGTGAAGTTCTGTCGGGTTTTAAAGGCATCATTTACAGAATGTATCTATAAATTATGAATTTAAGGTTAACATATTAAAGTCTTATATTCCTCTTATTTGTTTTATTTTTCCCTAACCATCATTCGGTTGACATATGTTTTCAAAGTATTGTTTAATCACATGTTCAATTATATTATTTCTTTTTCAGACATTAACAATAGATTCATACGCCACGCACCATACTACAATGCCTACTTCTATGCAAGATTAACTCACAATCTAAGAAATCACCATGGATCCGTTCCTTTCAATCAAGTTCTCGTCAACAAATTAAGCCGATACAATCGCCACAGCGGTGTCTTCGTATGCCCCCACTCAGGGTATTACGTTTTCACCTGGACCCTGATGACCAATCACAAGCAATGGGTTATCTCGGAACTGGTTGCTGGAGGGGCCGTCAAGGGGAAATTAATCGTCGATAGTGACGAGGGGTACGAAAGTGGATCCACAACCGTGCTTGTATATGTTCGCCGAGGACAACACGTGTTCGTTAGAATAACTGGTGGTGATCGAAATGTTGAAGCCCAAGGTGTATCAAGTTTTTCCGGTTGGAGATTGTCTTAGACGTGCTGAAATGAACCGAGAATTTATTAATATGACTCTAGATCTTCCCTATAGTCTCTCTGTTTACCTTAAATAAAACAAGAAATTTAATACTTTCTTTGTTTTAAATATAAATTGCTTTGATTGTTGAAGTTTTCCTTAATGCGTTCGTTTAAAAATGAAATACCACAGTATCAAAATATACTTGCTTTTTGTGCATACCTTAAGACGTTTAGTAGTCTAATTATCCCGTGTTGTCTCTAGTAGTATTACATACTTTTAGATACATATATAGGTCATGGTTCATATTTCTCCATTTTAACAAAGGAATTGATTTTTACCGAAACAATTAATGGGGGATTGATCCTTTGCTTACCGTACATTCATAAATCATGAAGTTTCTGCTATATAACATCCTCTGTCCATCCCCTTTAAGCATTATAGAACTTAATCAAAGTACTAAAAGTACTGTTAGACGGAGGCTTCATGTATGAGAGAACACAAAATATATATATCATACATAGCTGTAAAGAATATTTTGAGAAATAATGTGTAGTTTTTTTTTTTCAATTCAACATTTTTTTTCAAAGGATACTCCAATATTCATGAGGTTTTTGGGATATTATAATTTCATCTTTGTAATGTAAACTTCGCCATGATTAAAGTTCACTGTTATTTAGATGAGATACTTTCAATATTAAACCTTTCAACGTAAGAAACAGTAATTGACTAGGCCTGGTTGACATAAAACTTAGACGGGCTAACTTTTTATCCCAGTCTCACTTAAGGAATATATAGTGGAAAAGTGAGACTGAGATCAAAAGTGAGCTTGTCTAATATACATGTAAGTTGTATGCCCCCAGGCCCGGTTTGATGAATGTAGGTCTAGTATGTTCTAGTCATGAGCCCACTGGCGGAATTAAAATGGGCCCCTGGCCCCCTCCCTTTTGAGTCCAAAAAAAATACGCAATATTTGATAAATGAGTGTTTTAATTGTGGCTGTGGGCCCCTTCCCTGACCTCAAGCTGGTCCCCCTTTTTCAGAATTTCTGGATTCAGCACTAGGCCTCAGCCAGTCAGGAGTTTCCATATTTCAAGATATCTTATTTATAGGTCACAGAGACCTACTGTTAACATAATTATGACATGTAACAGCTACCAAAATCAAAATTTCTCGGCCTTATTGTAATAATGTTATGATATGAGCTAACATGGAAAAAGAAGCAGCCAGGTAATTGGACATGAACAACATAATATAGTACAGTTTGTCTTAAACCTTTGTGATACAAAATGGAGTGACCTAGCTTGATGCAACACAGAATTTTCTTTAAGTAATATAACGTCATTAACATGCAATAAATGTTCGTGCCAGAACACAATTTTTTGAGTGGAATAAAATATACTTTCTTACTTAAAGTAAACAGAACAATAAAGTTAATAATACTTGCTATTTCACAAGTTTAAATTGTTTTTGAAGAACTGGAGTATTGCTTACAATAACAAAGATATATCTTGACAAATTTGACAACCAATATTTCTGGAATTATTAAATGTAGTATTTTATCATATGACAGATTTAACCCAAAAAATGTCTTTCTTTACTCGTATACCAGTGGAAATTAATGGTTGTCCTTTTCAGTTTATCTGTTTAAAACAATCATTAACAATGAAACATGATTACAAATTACGTAGAGAAAAGTAATAAATATATAACTATGATTTCTGCTTTTCAGTAACTCTGTTAAAACAATCACTTTACCAATGATGTAGGTTAAAAAAAGTTGACATGAATACCAATGATCAGAAATACATGTAATCTTGTATATAAAAAATAATTAAAGTTTGAGATGTGAAAGAGGTAAAACACAAGTATCAAATGCAAATAAGGATCAACAATATGACAATAAGACAACTTATTTCAGAAAATATAATTAGGATATAATGTCATAAATCATGTAAATCCTATGAACCAAGATTTGGGTTGTACCCAAGGGTCAAAAGTTACAAATGCATTTTGATCTCAATATCAGAGTTGCCGTTTGTTTCTCTCTTATCTAATGTGAGGGTACCCCAAACACTCAAACGGAGTGAAAATGAGATTACAAACAGCAATCAAGCACAAAAAATTCCATTAAAACTGAAATGCTTGATCTATTAGTAAAATATCTTATATTTTTACCTGCGACATAAAACATTTGCATGCGGCATTGCAGGATTTTCTTCAATACATAATACAGGTACATCTGTGTCTCCACACTTAGTTTGATACAGGCGAATTCTGGTGGAAGTTTTTACAAGTAAATATAAAACTATAGTTTAAACTTATCTGTAACTAGAGATAGTTTTTACTTTAATAAAAGAAGCAATTGATAAGTGGGGTTCCTCGATCACTCTCCGCGGATGTTAACACCCCCCCCCCAAACTCCCTCTAGATCCGCCACTTCATTTCTTCTCGTTCTTGTTTTGGTGTGAGAACCGGAGGGAAAAGGCTCGGCATATTGTAAAACATGCTTTATCATCGTCTGTTGGAACAAAATCTCCTAATATTCTGTCTGATAAAAAATTAATAGTAAATCACATTTTTTACATATTCCGTAGGAAATGTATTTATATACACGTCATTTTAAAAATATTAGACAAATCCTGTTTATTTAGAAAAAGTAGAACTGTTTGTTTATACTTGTATGTGACGCGATCTTTGTTTTAGACTATGCCTATCCTTGCGGTCGGTGTTACTCAGAGTCGCTCTAAAAATAGAATTCTCAAGGTAATGAAAACAAATCCACCGATACATGGTGCTTGGGAAATCCTTCCTGTTTACATTCCATGGGCAAGACAATCCCTATACCCGGAGGCTGTCATACAGCCTCCGTCTAAAAATGTGTAGCTATACATAAAGGTAATAAATTTAAACATTGGTACCTAAGGATTTGATGGATGAAATATTTTATATAAAGAATGAATGCACTTTAGTACGTCATTTAGAACCTTTTCAGCGACCCATTTTAATCTTTACAATATTTATCGTAAAATTAATCTATGATTATTGTGAATTATTATAAGCTTTTGATATTTATGCACTGGTTTTTTTGTCATGCATATTTCTATAATTACAGACAATGTCATTGAAAAGAATATGTATAAGCCTTAAATTCCGGAAATTTGAACGGGACCACTATCGAATGTAAGGTACCCGCAAATAGGCGGAGACATTTAAAGCAATATGAGCTGCATGTTTGACATCGGAAAATTTTATTGCAAATTTGTAATTAACTAATTTAATGACAGAAAAATAAATCATTTATAAACTTCTGTTGTTCATAGCAGTATCTTTCTTTATTGGCTTATACATTACATATATTGCCACATATAACATTACTTTATATATATATATACATTGGTAAACAAGTGTCACACAGGTGCTATTACAAATATATAGAAAACAAAGAAAAAAAATGAGTAGCAATGCAGGTGTCTTTTGTATTATTAATGCTGCTGAATGGTAGCGTTTTCCCTCTTTTTAAAACATTCATACACAAATTTCCCAAGTTTTTTAAGTATATTTAACCCCTTAACGGCCAAGTGCGCCTTTTGACGCATTTTCAGCATCACAGTGATTTAACTGTTGGCGTTTTGTAAATAATCGGGATACAACAAAACAATTGATATTTTCTGAAACTAGAGAAGAAACACAACAATTTTTCTATCATAAGTTTTTCTCTACGATGTTAAGAAATTATCGTAAACTTGAATTGAACATTGAATATAATTGTGGGAAGTTAGTAAAATTACGTATAAATTGGTTATTTTGGGCTATATTCTGTAGGCTGTATCTCAATTACAGTACACGATAAAAAAAATGAATGCCATAATTTAAAAGCTGGAAATTTTCCCTACATTTTCTCTATTGGACATTGAAAGGTACGAGCATCCGTTACAGAAATATTTGCTGTTGAATATTGGAGCTTTTTCGAGTGAAGCGATAGAAATGCACTATGACGTCATCTAACGTTTTACAAGTACACAATGAAATCGTTCATGAGCTCGGTGTAAAATAAATCGATTCTTTTAATATATGGAACAGATTTATTTTTTAAAGGAATTATTTATAAAGAAGAGTTAATATACGAGACGTTTTGAGCCATAAATATGTAATGAAGGGAATTTTCCTTAGCTTTAAAATATTTATTTAGTAATAGTTCTTGACCCAACGCCCCGATTTCGTGCACCCACTGTTTCAGAAATCCCTGTCGAATTTTGTGTCATTCCTGCATGTAGTAGGAATTAATCAAGTAATTAGATATTGTCGTTACCATTTTCTTACTCTTCGGTTTTGTCATTAAAATTAAAAAAAATTATACAAGCTTATAAATCTTTTTTTTTCGAGTCCTTGGTCTAGTATTTTAAATGTACTTTGAAAGGAAAAGCTGTCACAACGACGAAACAGATTAGGTGTTAAAATTTCGATGAAAGATATATTTTTGCTAACGCACAAACTGCATTTAACTGACGCGATTATTTTTCTTACCCTTATCTTTATCAAATATAAAATGAATCTATAGGAACATGAAAATAAAATAATGAATATATACTGTGATATTTTTAAAAATCGGGAAGCGTATTTCTTATATTACAAATTATGAAGTTTTTCGTTTTCCATAAAATACACAAAACACCGTCCACTAAATTACTAAAAACAAATGCATCACAATCAACCTATCAAATACTTGACAGTAAAATCAAATACTGTAAATCACGTTTTATTCCCGAGAACTTTATTTTCGCGTAATTACGCGAGACAATGAGCGCGCGAAAATTTCATTCTCGCGTATAAAAGTATTCCTTACGATTATATAGAGGAAAACAACAATTTGTGAAAAATATGTCTCGCTAATAAAGAGTCAACGGCTATGTCGCGAAAATAAGGTGTCGCGAAAATTTAGTGATTTACAGTACAGAAAAAGAAATTCTGCAGTTTTTCCGTCTCGTCATTTGTCAGCCATATTGAATTTTCGGTGTAAT